AGGCCAGCCGTCAAGCGTGGGCAACACACTCAGACAAAAGCAGGAGTGCTCGATGGAAGCGAAAGGCCTTCTCTCAAACTCGAGATCACGGCGAGCATACTCATTGGCAGGTTTCCGTGACGATGCTCTGAGCTGACCCTGCACAGCAGCGGCACACGCCCAGTGTCTTTGAGTCCTGCCTAGCGGCAGGGCAAAGTGCAGAGCAACATCACAACGGCCGGTCAGCTGCACCTGTGACGTCGGCGGCGAGGCCCAGCACAGATCTGTGAAAGCCGGATCGATCGCGGCCAACGTCCCATACACGGCCTGTGCCCTGCACTCAGCACTTGGCAGCCGTGCTGGCTCCATGCATTCGCCCAGTATCCGTGAGAGCTGCGAGAGCCATAAACGGACCTGCGGCAGTGACCTGTGGGCGCAGAAAGCAGCCACCTGGTTTCTCCCACAGCCAGATATGTCAAGACAACTTCAACTGGAAACGACCGAGGCCAGCGATACTGCCTTCGCATTCTCATTCCGGGCGTCACAGTGGCGCGGAAGGAGGTCGCCACCCTCGTCTCCAGTCGTCACCCCAGCATGTATATGTGGATGATCGTGCGAACTGGCTGTCAGAAGTCAACTGGAAGCACGTGCAAGAACAAGAGGGCAGCAGACAGCATCCCGCGAGATGCAGTGCTGCAGTTGATGCCACGAGACATGGCACGCGCGGACATGCTCGGACGTATTCCGCTGTATTCCGTAATGCAGCTGACCCCACGTGAGAACTTTAAAAACGAAAGCCTCGCGCCGTTTACTCCTGGCCTGTGCACATTAGCTCTCCATCGGAGCACACCTCCGTGTCCAACATGATGGAAGCAGATACGCGAGGAGTGCTGCAGGCAAAGAGCCCAGAATTCGACGATGTCGACAAGATCTGGTTCTTCAGCAATCCAACTGCCAGAAAGTCGAACCGTGCACCCCACTGCTTCCACTGCCAGATCCCATGCGAGACGACTTCCAGCAGCAAGGCAGCTTGACGCTCGAAGCTGAGACCGGCTAGAGGTGCTGATGCCAGCGGCACGCCATGTTCCAGGCACAAAGCATCTCCCTCCTCCTGCCGAGCGCACACGAAACTTGGCGCCCGCTCCAGGCCGTCATCAAATCAGCAACGGACTCAGCACGTAACCTTTCGCGTTCGCCAATCGGCGAAGGCTTCACGCGGACGGAGTCTTGGCAAGTCTCAAGGCCTCCAGTTCACACCGGCGTGTCTTGGCCTACCAGCTGCCAGCTGCCAGCAGACGAGAAAAGCTGAAAGAGCACTTTCGAGGTGGCGCAGCTCTTGGGTCGGGCGGCCCGGATCAGAGGCGGAGCAGGAGGAGGAGGCGTAGCAGGAGATCCTGGCGCGGCCAACGACAAGAATTCCCGGCCTTCGCCTCACCAGATCGGACTGCATGAAGCCAACACATGGGCGCAAAGGCCCCTCGCAGTCTCAGACGGAAACCTGGTGTCTGAAATTCAGACACGAAGCCGTTCCTGAAGCGAAGGACCAAGACATGCTACGCAGACAAGCGAATTTGCCGCACAGACTGCATCATATGATCGAAAGGCACGCACGGGCGTTGCTCGCGGCTGAGCTTCTGTTCCAACAGGCAGACTCAGAGAGAAACGAACGCTGACCGTTTCACTCAGAGACACTCTAGAGAGACAGAGACAAAGGCAGTTGCAACCTCACGGCAAGACCGGAAGACCGGAGGGATGCTCTGACTCTACTCGCCGTTTTGAGACTTCCTGAACGAGAAAATGCCGCAGGGCCGTGCGGTGCGACAGTGCGATGCATGCGATGCACGAAAGCCAAGCTTCGAGTCTCAACCAGGCAGAAGCGCAGGTAGCTCAGCTAAGCGGCTGAGCGGCCGAGATCCAGAGAGCCGTCAAGCATGGAGAATGACTTACACAAACACTCAAGGACTCAAGGAGCCACGGGTACGGCCTGACTGGCCCCTCGTGGTAAGCTTGATGAGCTAACCTCCGCTCCAGTGCTTCCGGTCTTTCGCCCAGCACAAGGGTGTGAGCTCGGAAGCTGCGCCACACGTGGTGCAAGGCACAGGCAGACCAGGCAGCATCATCGGCTGGTGCATCGTTGCACTCGAGCATAGGGTGCTTCACACAGTAGATCAGTGAAAGCTACAATGATCACGGCCAAAGTCCTGCACCAGGACTGCACCTCGCACTCAGCACTTGCCAACCATGCTGGCTCCATGTATTCGCCCAGCATCTTTTGGCAGCTCCGCGCGCCAGAAACGGACACGCAGAAAGCATGCACATGAGTTTGGCACTGACAGATGTGTCAAAAGAACTTCAGCTTGAGACACCCGAGTCCAGCCATTGGGCTGCCCTCTCTCACAGGCTGGTACATTAGCGCGTAAACAAGCAGCATGCCTTTGAAGTGCTTCAAGGATCGTCCTCATTCCTTCAGAATGTCCCGAGAATTGGTGGTCGAGAATGTCCAGATTCTACGAACTGGCTGTCAGCAGTCAAACAAAAGCGCACGCAAGAACAGGAGGGCGCAGACTGTATCCCGTGACACAGCACGCTAGTTGATGTAGCAAGGCGTGACGTACGTCCAGATGCTCGGATGCACTCCGCTCGCACCTGGGACGACTGTAGCCGGAATCCAGCATGGCTAACAACTAACAACACAGGCCGGCGCTGTTCATTCCTGGCCTTGGCACAATAGCTCTCCATCGAGAAGCATGAATGCCGTGACATGAGAACCGCCGGAGATGTCTCGCAGACAGGCAGAGAGCCCCACATTCGAAGGTGCACGCAGGACCTGGTTCTTCAGGCATCTGATTTGACAAGGCTGCTGGAAGCTGCAAGGAAACCGACAGTGTGGAAACGAAACCGTGAACCGCTTCCGCCACGAGAATTGGCCAGAAATCACATCCAGCAGCCAGGCAGCCTGACGTTCGAAGCCGAGACCGGTCAGAGGCACCGATGCAAGGGGCACCCGATGTTCCGGCCGCAAAGCATCGCCTTCCTGCCGAGCCCGCGCGAAACTCGGCACCCACTCCAGGCCCGCATCACAACAGCAGCCGACGGAGCACGAGATCGTAGCACGGCCGTGCGATTCCCTTCAGCTTCATTAACTCCCGGCTGAGTCGGCCTCCGTCTGCAGAATAACGCCGGAATGAATCTGACTACATGCCCCCACTTGGGGGCATGGGCCACTTTGGAGTCTCGGACGGAAACCGCGCTCGTGTCGGAGACTACAGCCCAATGTCAGCACGAGACGACTCCTAGCTGTGAAGGACCAAGACACTCTACACAGACAGACGAAGTTGCCGTCGCACAGCTTGCAGCGCATGATTGAGCGGCCGTCCTGCAACGCGACTGCAGCAGCAGAGGCCTTCGCGCATGCAAGCATGTGCACTGACTGTCGCCGGGAAACTGCTATCACAACAGACAACACCGACAAAAAGCGAGAGGCCACGCACGCAATCCTCGGTCCCGATCCCACTCAACCGGGCAATGTGCGACAATGCCAAGGCGTTTCGCTCAGGCCAGCGGGCAGATGTGAGGACTGCCATGCAGCACCAGGAAGTAACTCACACAAAAGCTGAACTGCTCACGATGACGGCTGCGCCAGCATGGTTGGCGTTATCCGTACCATATTTGCTTGCTGAGCTCGCCTCTTCTGCCAGTGATCCAGGCCAAGCCCTGTGCCCGGCGCGAGTGCTATCTTGCAGAAGTCGGTCGGGGTGCAAGGTACAGGCAGACCGGTCAGCATCATTCCCTGTTGCATCTTTGAGTTGGGGCATGCGGTGCTAGGCAAAGCAGATCGGTGAAAGCTACAATGATCACGGCCAAAGTCCTGCACCAGGACTGCACCTCGCACTCAGCATTTGCCAACCATGCTAGCTCCATGTATTCGCCCAGCGGGCCCAGCATCTTTTGGCAGCTCCGCGCGCCAGAAACGGACACGCAGAAAGCATGCACATGAGTTTGGCACTGACAGATGTGTCAAAAGAACTTCAGCTTGAGACACCCGAGTCCAGCCATTGGGCTGCCCTCTCACAGGCTGGTACATTGGCGCGAAAACAAGCAGCATGCATTTGAAGTGCTTCAAGGATCGTCCTCATTCCTTCAGAATGTCCCGAGAATTGGTGGTCGAGAATGTCCAGAGATTCCACGAATTGGCTGTCAGCACTCAAACAAAAGCGCGCGCAAGAACAGGAGGGCGCAGACTGTATCCCGTGACGCAGCACGCTAGTTGATGTAGCAAGGCGTGACATACGTCCAGATGCTCGGATGCACTCCGCTCGCACCTGGGACGACTGTAGCCGGAATCCAGCATGTTCATTCCTGGCCTTGGCACAATAGCTCTTGGTCGACATGGCGAAGATCACAACGGCATCGATTCGCAGATGGGCAGAGTGCCGGAGATGTCTCGCAGACAGGCAGAGAGCCCCACATTCGAATGTGTACGCAAGACCTGGTTCTTCAGGCATCTGATTTGACAAGGCTGCTGGAAGCTGCAAGGAAACCGACAGTGTGGAAACGAAACCGTGAACCGCTTCCACCACGAGAATTGGCCAGAAACCACATCCAGCAGCCAGGCAGCCTGACGTTCGAAGCCGAGACCGGTCAGAGGCACCGATGCAAGGGGCACCCGATGTTCCGGCCGCAAAGCATCGCCCTCCTGCCGAGCCCGCGCGAAACTCGGCACCCACTCCAGGCCCGCATCACAACAGCAGCCGACGGAGCACGAGATCGTAGCACGGCCGTGCGATTCCCTTCAGCTCCATTAACTCCCGGCTGAGTCGGCCTCCGTCTGCAGAATAACGCCGGAATGAATCTGACTACATGCCCCCACTTGGGGGCATGGGCCCCTTTGGAGTCTCGGACGGAAACCGCGCTCGTGTCGGAGACTACAGCCCAATGTCAGCACGAGACGACTCCTAGCTGTGAAGGACCAAGACACTCTACACAGACAGACGCAGTTGCCGTCGCACAGCTTGCAGCGCATGATTGAGCGGCCGTCCTGCAACGCGACTGCAGCAGCAGAGGCCTTCGCGCATGCAAGCATGTGCCCTGATTGTCGCCGGGAAACTGCTATCACAACAGATAACACCGACAAAAAGCGAGAGGCCACGCACGCAATCCTCGGTCCCGATCCCACTCAACCGGGCAATGTGCGACAATGCCAAGGCGTTTCGCTCAGGCCAGCGGGCAGATGTGAGGACTGCCATGCAGCACCAGGAAGTAACTCACACAAAAGCTGAACTGCTCACGATGACGGCTACGCCAGCAGCTCGGCCGGCATGGTTGGAGTCATCCGTACGGTTTTGACGAGCTCGCCTCTGCTGCCGTTCTACACAGACAGACGAAGTTTCCATCGCAGGGGGTTGCAGCATGTGATTCATAGGGGGCTGCCGCCACATGCACATCTGCAAGCACATGCTCTCACCGGCCCACAAGCTTCAGAACCAGCCATAATCAACCTGGCAACGTGCGTTACCCAAGGCCAGCTGGTAGGTGCGTCAATGTCATAAGGGTCTGTCAGGACAGCAGTCAAGCCCAGCAGACAGGCATGCACCTAGTGTCGCCTTGCTGGGACACTGGCTTAAGGACTGAGACTGAAAGCTACAGGTCTGCGGTCGAACCGATGCGCATTGGCGCTTGCGGCGGCTCCTGGCTGTCGCAGCCCTTGAAGCCCAGATCACGAGCGCGAGTCCAGCACCGCATTCAAGCCAAGCAACATCGCGCCTGCCCGGTGCATCCGTGGACCCGTGCGAAGGGCGCCAAGCACAGCAGAACGGCAAAAGTTACGACGATGACGGCCAGAGCCCTGCACAAGGCCTGCACACCACGCTCAGCTCTTAGCAACTACGCTGGCTCCCAACTGAACATCTGCAGGAGAGTTGTATGAATCTTTGCAGCCCAGACAGGTCCCTGCAGAGGCACTCACTCAACTGACGCGGCACCGCAGCTCAGGGCGGCGACGACGCGGAAGTCGAAATCGAGAAGACTCCAACCGTGGCCACACCGAGATTCGCCGTGGAAGGTGGGCCTCCAGCGGCACTGAGTGCGGACCGGATGCGGCTTCTGCATTCTGCTGCTGCCACAAAGCCAACCAGCATAGGCGCGGGTTTCTATTGCCGAGGCATTGAGGAAGGATGCTCATTGTTCCGCGGTGTACCCTCCAAGCCTCCAAGAACTAAGCGAACGGCCCTTGGTGAGGGTCGGCACTATGCGACACTGTGCGACGCGCTTGTGTCCTGGCCGCTGTATGTCGCTCGTTTTCAATGGTTCAAGAGAGATATTGAAGATTGGGTCATGGAGCCATCAGCTGCTAAGCTACTCCTTCACTTTCCAGCGGGGGGCTGTCAAGGTAAGAAAAAAGGAGAAGGCTTCCCATCACTGCGATCGCAAGTCTGTCCACAGACCTGAGGACGCCCCCACAGGCACTTCGCTGCACGCTTTGTGCCAAGAGGACAGGACTGGGAGAAGTTGGGAAGGCTCCGCGGAGTACAGCATGCATCCAGCATAGTCTACAACAGACCTGTGACTGTTCCATTGATTTCAGGCTTTTGCACGATAGCTCTCCATGGAACATGCCGACGAGCCATGAAAGGATGGGTGCGGAGGCATGAGGAGCTGTCGTGTCATGAGAAGCTCTCAAGCTCAGACCCTGCATGTTCGACGATCTCTGCAAGATTTGGTCCTTCAACAATCTGCTGTGACAAGGCCAACGGAAGCTCAGAGGAAGCCACCAGCGAGAAAAGGGAAACCGCTTCGGCCGCCAGATTCGGCAAGAAATTGCCTCCAGCAGCCAAACAGCCTGATGTTGGAAGCCAAGACCGACTACTGGGATTGGTGACGCAACGGCCGCCCGGTGGTCCTGCCACATGGCATCGGCCACATCAGATGTGCAAGCAAGTGAGCACAAGATCCAGCTCAATACTCCTCACATCTACGTGTTACTTAAAGCATCGGAACGCCTGGGACTGGGAAAGCCAAACCGGCTCATCGTCTCGCTTGTGCTAAACTCTACAGGCGAGGGCACCCGGTTCACAGCGGCGTATCTTGCTCAGTTAGCTTGGTGCGCCATGGCCGCACTTTGTTGGAGACGACGCTGGACCCGCTTTTCAGATAGTTTGAAGACATACGCCAAGTTGCCGCCCTGCCCAGGCCCTCATCAGATCAGCAACCAACTGAGCACACGATCGTGGCAAGGGGATGCCATGACACTGAGCTTCTGGCACCCTCGGCTGCATTGTTCTGGGTGCAGAATCACACTGACATAGAGGAGAAGCTCCGCAGTGTTCCGAGAGCTGCCGGCAAGCCACCCGTGTGCGTCCGAACGGGACTCACGGCCTGCGTGCGGCTGAAAATCGAGCATGTGAGGGCTCCTAGCTGTGAAGGACCAAGACACTCTACACAGACAGACGAAGTTGCCGTCGCACAGCTTGCAGCGCATGATTGAGCGGCCGTCCTGCAACGCGACTGCAGCAGCAGAGGCGTGCGCGCATGCAAGCATGTGCCCTGATTGTCGCCGGGAAACTGCTATCACAACAGACAACACCGACAAAAAGCGAGAGGCCACGCACGCAATCCTCGGTCCCGATCCCACTCAACCGGGCAATGTGCGACAATGCCAAGGCGTTTCGCTCAGGCCAGCGGGCAGATGTGAGGACTGCCATGCAGCACCAGGAAGTAACTCACACAAAAGCTGAACTGCTCACGATGACGGCTACGCCAGCAGCTCGGCCGGCATGGTTGGAGTCATCCGTACGGTTTTGACGAGCTCGCCTCTGCTGCCGTTCTACACAGACAGACGAAGTTTCCATCGCAGGGGGTTGCAGCATGTGATTCATAGGGGGCTGCCGCCACATGCACATCTGCAAGCACATGCTCTCACTGGCCCACAAGCTTCAGAACCAGCCATAATCAACCTGGCAACGTGCGTTACCCAAGGCCAGCTGGTAGGTGCGTCAATGTCATAAGGGTCTGTCAGGACCGCAGTCAAGCCCAGCAGACAGGCATGCACCTAGTGTCGCCTTGCTGGGACACTGGCTTAAGGACTGAGACTGAAAGCTACAGGTCTGCGGTCGAACCGATGCGCATTGGCGCTTGCGGCGGCTCCTGGCTGTCGCAGCCCTTGAAGCCCAGATCACGAGCGCGAGTCCAGCACCGCATTCAAGCCAAGCAACATCGCGCCTGCCCGGTGCATCCGTGGACCCGTGCGAAGGGCGCCAAGCACAGCAGAACGGCAAAAGTTACGACGATGACGGCCAGAGCCCTGCACAAGGCCTGCACACCACGCTCAGCTCTTAGCAACTACGCTGGCTCCCAACGTTTGCTGAATATCTGTGGGCAGGTGCGAGCAAGTGAAAAGTACGTACGGCGGACCTGTAGCGTGCAGAAAGCACTGAAAGCACGTGCCTGGTTTCTTCTGGACATCCATTGGCTGCCTTCTGTCACAGGCCGTTACACTTGCGCTGACGCAGGTATCGTGCAGCTGAAGGGCTTCAAAAGCTCACAGAACCTACGAACTGATGTGTGTGCCAAGTCAGGAGGCGCCAGGAAGGCCGAGCAGTTTCCGGCAGCTGCCGCAGCCGATCCTGGTGCAGCTAAGGGCGGCGACGACGCGGAAGTCGAAATCGAGAAGACTCCAACCGTGGCCACACCGAGATTCGCCGTGGAAGGTGGGCCTCCAGCGGCACTGAGTGCGGACCGGATGCGGCTTCTGCATTCTGCTGCTGCCACAAAGCCAACCAGCATAGGCGCGGGTTTCTATTGCCGAGGCATTGAGGAAGGATGCTCATTGTTCCGCGGTGTACCCTCCAAGCCTCCAAGAACTAAGCGAACGGCCCTTGGTGAGGGTCGGCACTGTGCGACACTGTGCGACGCGCTCGTGTCCTGGCCGCTGTATGTCGCTCGTTTTCAATGGTTCAAGAGAGATATTGAAGATTGGGTCATGGACCCATCAGCTGCTACTCCTTCACTTTCCAGCGGGGGGCTGTCAAGGCAAGAAAAAAGGAGAAGGAACCCCATCACTGCCATCGCAAGTCTGTCCACAGACCTGAGGACGCCCCCACAGGCACTTCGCTGCACGCTTTGTGCCAAGAGGACAGGACTGGGAGAAGTTGGGAAGGCTCCGCGGAGTACAGCATGCATCCAGCATAGTCTACAACAGACCTGTGACTGTTCCATTGATTTCAGGCTTTTGCACGATAGCTCTCCATGGAACATGCCGACGAGCCATGAAAGGATGGGTGCGGAGGCATGAGGAGCTGTCGTGTCATGAGAAGCTCTCAAGCTCAGACCCTGCATGTTCGACGATCTCTGCAAGATTTGGTCCTTCAACAATCTGCTGTGACAAGGCCAACGGAAGCTGCGAGGAAGCCACCAGCGAGAAAAGGGAAACCGCTTCGGCCGCCAGATTCGGCAAGAAATTGCCTCCAGCAGCCAAACAGCCTGATGTTGGAAGCCAAGACCGACTACTGGGATTGGTGACGCAACGGCCGCCCGGTGGTCCTGCCACATGGCATCGGCCACATCAGATGTGCAAGCAAGTGAGCACAAGATCCAGCTCAATACTCCTCACATCTACGTGTTACTTAAAGCATCGGAACACCTGGGACTGGGAAAGCCAAACCGGCTCATTGTCTCGCTTGTGCTAAACTCTACAGGAGAGGGCACACGGTTCACAGCGGTGTATCTTGCTCCATTAGCTTGGTGCTCCAGGGCGCAGTGGGCCCGCTTTTCACGCTGTCAATGTCTCAATAGCTCTTTTGGGCACATGGCCTGCACGAGGCCAACTTGAGGTCCTCCCTCAAGAAGCTTGGCATCTTTTCCAGGCCCTCATCAGATCAGCAACCAACTGAGCACACGCTCGTGGCAAGGGGATGCCATGACACTGAGCTTCTGGCACCCTCGGCTGCATTGTTCTGGGTGCAGAATCACACTGACATAGAGGAGAAGCTCCGCAGCGTTCCGAGAGCTGCCGGCAAGCCACCCGTGTGCGTCCGAACGCGACTCACGGCCTGCGTGCGCCTGACAATCGAGCATGTGAGGGCTCCTAGCTGTGAAGGACCAAGACACTCTACACAGACAGACGCAGTTGCCGTCGCACAGCTTGCAGCGCATGATTGAGCGGCCGTCCTGCAACGCGACTGCAGCAGCAGAGGCGTGCGCGCATGCAAGCACGTGCCCTGATTGTCGCCGGGAAACTGCTATCACAACAGACAACACCGACAAAAAGCGAGAGGCGCCGCACGCAATCCTCGGTCCCAATCCCACTCAACCGGGCAATGTGCGACAATGCCAAGGCGTTTCGCTCAGGCCAGCGGGCAGATGTGAGGACTGCCATGCAGCACGGGACAGCCTCCCAAGCAACTTGTCGCTCCCAGGCAAAAATCTTCGGAAACCCTGCAAAAGTCAGCGGCTATGCCAGCAGCTCGGCCGGCATGGTTGGAGTCATCCGTACGGTTTTGACGAGCTCGCCTCTGCTGCCGTTCTACACAGACAGTTCTAAGCCCCAAACCCCGCCCGATGTGCATGACTGCCTCGTGGCAAGTTTCGGATCTTCTTGCCTTGCTCAAAACGCCCCTGGTGCACGGCGCAGAGGCAGTCTCATAGCGGTCGGAGACGGGGAGGTCGAATCATGGCCAGGCTGCACGAGGCCAGCACATCAGCTCTTGCCCGGGTACCGCCGACCTTTCATTTCCTCGGCGACACGTGCCCAAGCAGCTCGGCCAGCATTTAGGGCGTCAACCGCTGCCAGTGGTGCAAGGCAAGCCCCGTTCCCGGTGCGAGTGCTATCTTGCAGAAGTCGGTCGGGGTGCAAGGTACAGGCAGACCGGGCAGCATCATTGCCTGCAGCATCTAGGAGTTGGGGCATGCAGTGATGGGCAAAGCAGATTGGTAAAAGCTATAATGATCACGGCCAGAGTCCTGCACGAGGACTGCACCTCGCACTCAGCACTTGCCAACGTTGTGCTGGCTCCGTGCATTCGCCCAGCATCTTTGGGCAGCTCCGAATGCCAGAAAGGGGCATGTAGGGTCTTCCTATCAATTGGGCTGCCCTCTTTCACAAGTTGGTACATTGGCACGAAAGCAAGTAGCATGCGCTGAAGTGCTTCAAACCCCAATTTTCGAATCACGTCTAGAGAACCTGCGAACTGACTGTCAGCAGTCAAACGCAAGCGCGTGCAAGAACATGAGTGCACACGCAGCATCCCGGAAGATTCAGTGCCGTAGTTGATCTAGCAGGGGGCGACATAGGTCCAAATGCCCGGATGTATACTGTGCTCTCACCTGAGAAGACTGCAGCCAGAACTTGCTACGAAAGACTTGTGCCGTTCATTCCTGGCCTTTGCACAGTGGCTCTGGTCGGAACGTGGCTATGCTTGGACTCCGCTCTCACCTGAGAAAGCAGAAGGAGTCTAACATGAGAACTTGCTAAAAACAGAGTCGGGCTGCTCATTTCTGGCCTTTGCATAGCTCTTGGTCGACATGGCGACGATCACAACGGCATGGATTCGATGGGAAGAGTGCCGGAGCTGTCGCGCAGACATGCAGAGAGCCCCACGTTCGAAGGTCTCCGCAAGATCTGGTCTTTCAGGCATCTGATGGGACAAGGAGGCCGCAAGCTGCAAAGAAGGAAGTTCAGAGAGAACACCAAACTACGAAACCCATTGATTCCGCGGGACACCACATCAAGCAACCAGGCAGCCTCACGTTCATCGCCGAGACCGGTTAGGGGAAGCGTCGATAAAACCGGCACCCGGTGCCACATGCACCTGGTGTCGTCCTTATGCCGAGTGCACAAGCAACATGGCGGTCACCGCAGGCCTTCATCACGTCAACAACCAGCTGAGCGCGCAATCGCGGCAAGACCACACGATTCCCTTCAGCTTCTGGAGCCCGAGGCTGCGTCGATCTCCTGATGAGCGCAGCATCGTGCTGGCAAGGTACGGCAGCTTGGGTGCAAGATCATGCTGGAAAAGCAATGCGACCTTTTCAAGACAACTTGCAAATCTGGCTGTGCGGCCACCGCACACAGGCCAAGATGGCATTCGCAGCCCTGGACGAGTGACAACCGAGGTCAAGCACGAGACGGTTCCTGGCTGAAGTCAAGCTTGTGACCAAGACAAGCTACGCAGACAGGCGAACTTGCCATCCCACTCGGCTCAGTATGCAATGCACCCTGCAGTGTATCACCGCGACTGTAGCGTGGGTGTGCACATCAGCGAGCAGGTGCTGTGGCACGGCTCAGTGCTGGGAAGCTTCCGTCCCGACAGACAATACGAACGAAGGGGCAGCGAGAGGCACAGCACAGTTTAACTCAACCAGGAAACTCGCACACAAGCCAGGCTGCCTGACTCAGACCATGTGGCATGTGGCATACGGGCGTGAAAGGACAGCCGTCAAGCTAACTTATACAAAAAATTAAACTTGCCCTCGACGAAACCGTACCAGGTGGGTCGCTTGTCACACTCGCCTCCGCTGCCAGCGGTCTTGGTCACACGCTCGAGGCCTGGCAAAGAAACCAGTCGCGAAGAGGCAGACAAAGATCAATCTGAACCACTGATCGTGCGAGATTTGCAGCTAACATGTGCAGCTGTGGCCGACAACATCGCTTACTCAGGCCCTGCCATTGCAAGCCGAGCACACCGGCGTGCTCACAGCATCGTTGCACTGGAGCGTGGGTTGGGGGGGCTAAACACGGCAGAATGCTGAAAGCTATGCTGCTACAAAGTGATCATCGTGCGTCTGGCTAGAATACAGCCTGTTGGACTCCCAGCGGCTGAAGAGGACATGCAATCGCGGCTTCTGGGCAGACACACAGGGTCCGCCTGGCTTCCCGTTCCCGACAGCCAGATGTGTCAAAAAACACCCGCAGACGGAGACGACCCGAGGCCAGTGAGGGGGACGATGAGGCTTCCTCGTCTCTCTAGCTGATTTGACGCGGATGCGGATATATGTGTTTATATATATATATATACACACACACATAGATGGATATAGTGTAAACTCCAAGCGCGTCTCCTATTCTCGAGCAGGTAGCAAATGCAAGTACCTGTCAGAAGAGAGGGGGAAGCGCCAGTAGCAACAGGAGGCCGCAAGGCTTCCCGAGTGGATCGCCGGCATGAGACATACACCTGCTCGGCTGCACTGCACTCTCTTCCAGGATGTTCCGGGTTGAGACCAGTGTACGAGCAGTCCAAGGTGATAATCTCTGATTGCAGAACTTATGTTACTCGTTCCGGGTTGTTGCGCGATACTAGTAGCTTTCGATCGGAACATGGCGAGGAGCCCAAAAGGATGGAACCGGAGACATAAGGAGGGCCGGAGCCGCCGGAGCCGTGCAACGTAATGGCAACAGAAAGCCCTATGTTCGATCTGTGCAGGATCGCTTCCTCCAGCTTGCACCGCCTCAGCCAGGCAGCCTGTGACTCGAAGCTTAGATGGCTTGACGGAACACTGCACAAGGTTCCACGGCGTAAGGGCGTGCGGAAGGCATGCGCTCGCTTCCACAGCACCCATCAAAGCCTTTGCAGGAAGAGGAGGCTAAGAGCTTCGGCTACTTTAGCTCCGGCTGCGTCCCTTTTGTGCTGGGAGAGACCCGGGTGCAACGCAAAGTGAGGCGCCTGCCTTGGCCCTTGGCCTCCAGACTCCAGGCCTTGGCAAAAACGAGGGAAGCTGAGATCGCCTCAGGTGCCCGGGAAGGCATGCGTCCAGGGCCCGGGGCCGAGCTCCGGGCCCAAGGTCTGCAGCAAGCTCAGTTTGGCTGAAACTGAAACTCACACGCTGCGCACACAAAAAGGGGATCCGGGGCAGGCGGTTTCGCTGAGCTTCTGATCTCACACCAGATGCCTACTGCCAGCACCAGGCATCGAGATCTAAGACGCTGGGGGAGCCCACAATGTTGACATTCCTCAGCACTTGAGCTGTCCTTCCGCAAAGTTTTAGAGAGGGCTACCGGTTACATCGGTGTGTCTTGCGCCGTCAGGTGCTTCATGGGTCATGCCTTGTACTTGGAGTCGCTGTCACAAAGGAATCGTCAAACCGGCATAATGCCGGCCACACCGGGCACCACTGCACATGCACCGATATCTGGAGTCTGAGTCTACGAGACTTCCTTCTTTGGCGGCTGGCCCCAAACAGGCGGGCAGGAGGAGAGCCCCAGAGGCCAGACTGGCTTCGCCTTCTGTCCCGACGAATGCACGACTAAGTCTAAGTCTAAGTCAAGACTAGCTGCTAGCTCTCCATCGGAGCATGGCAGCGGGCAACGAGCCATACAGGCCGAAAGGCGCACGGGAGGCGAGGAGCGCTGGCTGGGATGCAAAGCCATGCTCACCTCCGCACGAGTTGGCACCGCGACAGTCTGCCGAGACAGGCCGATGGAAGTGGCAAAGGAAGCCACAAGCGAGAAAACCAAGCTGCGAACCCCACTGCTTCCGCCACCAGAACTTTGAAGAGACCACATCCAGCAGCCAGGCAGCTTTACGTTCGAAGCACCAGCACCGGCACCCGGTGGCCTCGTCAGCCTTCGGTCAACGAAGGCGGCGTGCGCTGGCACGACTGCACGCAGGCCCTCCTCAAACCGAGAAGCTGAGCACAGGATCCCAGACTCCACCGAAAAGGTGTCTTGGGCTTGGGCCTTCTGGGCTTCCGCCGGCCTTCACCGAGACCCGACTCTGACTCTCGCCTACAACTCGGAGCTTCTTTGCAAAGCGGTGTATCTTGACCTGGCACGTGCTCCGGAGGAAGCCACACTGTGAGCTTACCAGGAAACGAAACTTTGAGCTGGCACTCACCCTGAAGGCATGTGGAGCGCGCGACGGTCCTGCTCATGACTTGTGAAACTCGGTGTGCACCGCGGGTCCTCAGACGGAGCACGCGATTGTGGCAAGACCACACGATTCCCTTCAGCTTCTGGAGCCCGAGGCTGCGTCGATCTCCTGATGAGCGCAGCATCGTGCTGGCAAGGTACGGCAGCTTGGGTGCAGGATCATGCTGGAAAAGCAATGCGACCTTCTCAAGACAACTTGCAGATCTGGCTGCGCGGCCACCGCACACAGGCCAAGATGGCATTCGCAGCCCTGGACGAGTGACAACCGAGGTCAAGCACGAGACGGTTCCTGGCT